CTTGCCCGGTTATAACAGTTGAATTGGCCGGTTAATTGCTTATGGGCCCATGTTCGGTTAACCGTTCCAGTTCGATTTTGCGAACACTGATTAGAATACATCAAGATAAATTTTAAAATAATTTCAATTTATAAGATATAATTATCTCTAAGCTCCCAGTCATCAGTTTGTCACATATCACAACATGTCCATTGAAAATGAGATGTTGCGTGTTATGATTGTGACGCGTCACTGAAGAAACATGTACAGACAGGTGATTAACGGTTCAACTGGTCATTACCATGTGAACCAATGAAAACTAATCAAAACAATAAAGCTTAATAAAGAAAAACATTTTCGTAAGGGAAAAAGGTTATATGAAGTTTCCAATCTTGTCCCATGTATAAGTACAATACACTTAACCATCGTAGTGTTTCTGACTCCAGAGCTAACATCATCTGGCCAAATTTAGAGGTGTGCCTTATTTGTATTGTATAAGGTGTGTACCTTATACAAACTCACCCAAATTTGGAGGTGTGCCTTACTTGTATTGTATAAGGTGTGCACCTTATACAAACTCACCCTTTAATAAATCACATGAAATATTTTCACAATCTGTCTTTTTTGTTGTTGTTGTGTGTTGGGAATTGAGAGTTGCTCGATTATCTCTAGTTGTGGTGAACCTCCCACCACAATGAATCCAATACATCAAAACTAACTTGCTTATTACCGATAAATCGATTTCAAGAAACTCAAACACCCAAGAACTGTATTTGGTGTAATAAATTTAGAAAAAAGAAAAAGAAATAAAGAGAAACAAAAATAGGAACGTTAAAATAATAGCAATATTCTACAAACTACAATCCATGTACTATCAACACAAATATACGTGTTTCACCATAACTATGCTATATCTACGGCGAAGATGAATTCATTGTCAATGGAGGAAATTATAAGCTTTGTGGTTTGTAGTAATTACTTTATGATGATAAAAAAAAATTAAATTGATTTTTCTCCTACCACAAAACATCATTAATGGATTCCTTTCTCCACTGCTGCAAAGAAATGCCAATAAATTTAGCTCAATACAAGGGCACAATAAAGCTAGGGTTTACCAACCAAAGCCTACAATCTCGCTTTCCTCAAAATTCTCTTTTACTCTCCCTACAAGATTTACCCTCAAATACATGAGTTACTTTTTTTCCCTCTACAATAATTTATATGGCTCCCATATCAGTCACTTTTTTTCATTTGACCAAAAACACCAGTAAATGATGAGATAATCCATAGCGTTTGATTTTGTATCGCGAACCCAATAATCCCCACCTTGATACAAAATTACACACTTGCCTTGCCAACTATATCTAGTTATGCTTTTGTTCTTGAAACTAGAGAACTTAGCTAATGCTACAAGCTCTTTAGCCAAATAACCTCCATGAGCGTGCATTGCTCATCTTCCTTTACGCACCTTTCTCATGCACCTTCTTCCATACTCTTATCTAGAGTTCTTGAGGTCATCCTGCCCTCATACATGCTCCAGGTGCAACATTTCCCATACACCTACAAGTGTGACTGGTGCTTGATCTCTAATCCCCGGGATCCTTTGCATAAGTTGTTCTCACAAAGCCTTTTTTATGTCCATAGCCATGACAATACTGAAATTTTGAAGTACTCATTTCACTCCATTCCAGAATTTTCTTCCTAGGCTAAACAAAAGCTAATCAATAAAGCAATGAAGAAAATCAACACTAGAGTAGCACTATAATGCTCTACTCATATCGGATATGCCATTATCAAATTTTAAACATTGGCTTGAAGAAAATCCAAGAGGTGCTTCCGGCTTCACGTCCTTTTGAGAAAGTCTCAAAACTTTACCTTTCCAGCTTGCTGAATATTCCTACCAAGATCTTGCTTTGTACCATCAAGTTCTTCCATTGCCAAACATTACCGCTTACCAAGCTTCTTTTGACTTTACAACCTAAGTTACACTTTCATTTGTAATTGTGCTCAGTAATAGTTTATACAAGTTCCCTTCTTCGACTCCTTTCATCATAACTACAGCCTATTTTAAAACTTTGAGCACTCCACCTTACCTAGTAATTTGTGACATTCTATATGTAAAGAAGAAAGTGAAATCAACCACTTCTTAAAATCTCTCCTATGTTTCATATTCTCAAGTGTCCAGACCATCTCATCATACATTTTATACAAACAAAACCCATTTCCATATCTACCAATATATATATATATATATATATATATATATATATATATATATATANAGAAGGTATAGTGAGACAGTAGGACGTACAAGAAATAAAA